TAACATCTTTACTCACTTAAAATATCAGAATAAAATTCAATTTAATTATAATCAAAACACAGATTCTAAAATCTTGTTGGCGGTGGATTAGTCAGGATTTTCCTATCAGTGGTGCTGGATGCAGGGTCGGACAAGAAAAAAGAATCTAGGGACTGAATATCTAGCGATATTATACTCGTTGGCTTGTATGTAAAAGAACTATACGGAGAGTACATGTATGTGAAAATGCATAAATTGTTCGTGCAAAATTTCCCTCAGGAGGAGCCTTGGAGTGTCACTGAATAAGGCACTGGCTCAGTATAGGCTAGCTACGAGAACGTAGCTAAAAACGTTGAGATATACTGATGTGTTTGTTTTTAGCTACGATTGGATGCCTTTAGTTGCAAGTGGCAAACTCAATTTCTTTATTAATGCATGTTACATCTTTAAAATAAGATGAGTTTATGCTATTATGATTAATTAAACTTACAGAGGCCAATGTAGTGGCACAACTGTCGCCTAACTCCAAATATTCGCGTTTAAATTAATGAAGCGTTGTTTTTGTCTGACATTCACCGCCATTGAAATCCATTCATAGTTAAAATGCTTCAGATTGCCCTTTTGATTGGCTGTTAGAAAAGCCTTATATCTAGCCCCGCCTTCATGATGACAGCGTATCGTTTAAAAAGATGGCAGTCTTAGTAACGGCTTAACGCCTCAATTTTAAAAACGACGATTTGTACCCGTTTCAGGTAGGATTATATGCTAAATTGTAGTTGGATGTGGCAGAAATATTATAAATAACAATAATCAATCGTTGTTTTGATTAAAAATATTGTCAATTTTGCTTACAAATGCCGTTTGCGAATCGCTCCCGCATGTGCTACATTGGAGTTAATGGCATCATCTCTTATCTCGAAACACAGAGGGTTGCCTTTTGGTCAGCTGTGAAAGCAGGAGATCTAATCATTGTGATAAGAAAAAATCAGGTTGATGTGCGTGTAGCGTAGACGATAAAAAGAGATCTTAACTGCCTTTATTTATTTTTTTTCCCAGAACTATTACAAGGGAATAAATGTCATCATATTCATACAAAGAAAGAAAACAATAAAAATGTGTTGTATTATTCAAAATACAGGTTGTTTTGGGTAATTAAGTTGTTTTGGGTAAATCTACGGATCCCTTTAATTTGCCCAGTTGGTAGGTTACAGAAATGTAAGACGTCATTTTCAAATTTCATTTCATTGTGCAATCTATCTTGTTTTTACCAGGTATTCAAATTATTGTTATCTTCTCAAATTCAAGAAGGTTCTAGTTCAGTGGTCAGTAATAAATGTCTTAATGAATAATATTAATACTTACTTCACCAATACGGAAGGAAAATGACAAAATCAAGTTTCAAGAACTGTTTGGTGTGAAGGTCTAAAAATAGTTCAGGGTTTTCCAGGGGAGAAAACGGAAGTAGATTTAAGATAAGTTGAACGCGTAGAACGTGTCACTCCGTCTGCGCGAAAAAAAATAATGTATTACACCCTCATCATTTACAAACCGACTCTCGCGGATTAAACAACGGATTGGCATATATACACGTAAAACGATTGTATACCACAAGCTTTAAATTCATTCAGTTACGCATTTCATCAACGTTTTGTTGTCACTCAGTGTGCAGCGCTGTCTATTCGTTCCCCGTTTTCCGGGGAGATAACTCTCAAAAGAGTGCTGGGATCAGGCTGCTACATCCCGACCCGATCCCACTCCTCAACCTAGTAACTTCAATGTCAATTCCATGAACGTACTTGTGATCTTTATCTTTATAACCACAAAGAGTTGCTGGTTGAAATTTTTCTACTAATTTATACTACTGTAGGCCCAAGAACCTATGCTGAGTGAGAGAGAGAGAGAGAGAGAGAGAGAGGCAATTTTATTTCATTATGGGTCTTTAGCAGTGGGAGGAAAGCGGAGGAACGTGAATCAAGCCCACGAGGTTGAACAGACGACCCTACTCCTTGTCACGTACAAGGAAGGATTCGAAACCATGCAAATTAACTCAATGACAGACCTTGTGATTTCACTTGCACGTATTAAACCACTAGACCCCCCCCCCCTTTATTTTGATAGAGTTTCTGTTCAAAATAACATACACATATAAAACAAAATATAATTTTTATGGGAAACACAATTACTAGTTTTGTTCTATAGGCTTGACAACGAAAAGATGATGAAACTAGTCATTTATTACCAACGTTATGTGACACTACGGGGTAGATGTGACTCCAAATAAGAGATAGGCTGTGACACTATCGTCTATGACTTTCTTCGACTTCACGTTGTGGGATCAATTATTTCAATCATCAATTAACTGACTCTGGAACATCGTTTATGTTCTTTTTAAGTTTATATAATTAAAAAAATACAGCAAACTACAAAGTTATGATAGTAGGCCTACTTTTCGAGTTATTAAAATATCCACGGTCTGAGTTTAATATCCAGCCACATACTTCTTGATAGTTCTGCATAAGGTTGGCGCTAGGATGATGTGTTCACCCTAGACTCTAAACCGAGGAGGCTATGGGTATATTCCCCTTGAGCTCCGAATAATATCTTCCCTACGGACTCATCATGATATCTGAGGGTAAATCAAACAAGCACCGTTTTACGTCAACACTATTCTAGTTAGTTGTACTAATCCGTGCACTAGATGACTGAACTATAGTACCCTACTTCCAGCAAAGGATACTGACATAACTGTCGGTGAGTTTATATAGTCTAAGATAGTTTTGGAAAAATGCAAGGTACTTCATTAACCTAGTTTTCGTCACACATCATGTAGGTAAAGAATTTCTATATTAAACAGAACACTTTTCTTATAACTAAAATAAACCCTATTGTATTACAGTTAGAGGGAGCTGGGTGGCGTTCGCGTTAAATCAGAAGGTTCCATTGAGTTAAGTGGCGTGGTTTCGATCCCCAGCTGGTACGTGACAAGGAGTTTGATCGGGTTTTGTTGAAATAAATTTGAACCATGTGTTAGTCTCAATATAGTCTCATGGGCAACGGCACTATGGCCTACACTTTTTTCGAATTAGATCTGCCAAGGGATATTTTACGTGCACGCCAATGTATATACGGGACCTCGGATTTTGTCTCATCCGAATGGCTAGACAGCTGTCCTTGTCAGGCCCTACGTCCTGCATCTCTGACAAGGGGAAACCACGTCGCAAATGGTCATTATATAAAGAAGATCAGATATCCTTCCATAGCAGAACAGTATGACGTTTCTTGGTTTCGATTCCCCGGTTATACATCACAAAGAGTAAGGTCTTCTGTCCAGCCTCGTGGGTTTTCTCCGGGACCTCCGGTTTCCTTCCACTGCTAAAGACCCTACGTGCAAGTGAATTATTGAAATAAAATTGAACCATATGTTAGTCCCGAAATGACCTTTACTTCCCCCCCCCCCACCAATCTCTCTCCCTCTCGCATCCGGGAACCTGTTGTTAAGGTAACAAAATAATCCATAGTAGACCAAGACTCCGATGCTCTGACCTGCAGGGTCACAAATTCCTTAGATATGTTGCTGACAGCCCCGCGTGCCTCTGCGGTCATATATTAGAAGATCACGGTCAAGGTGTTCTTTACATTCAAATGGACTAACAATAATATTTTAATCAAGTCTCCCCCTCTCTCTCCCTTACTAGATCTGGCACTTATTCACTAGGTCCTATAAGCCTTTTCATTCGGACTAACTATGGCGATATCATCAGCTTATGTTGGACAGCTACATTTTATGTCTAGTACAATGCTCCTTTCGAACAAAAGCTAAGTGAGAGGGGCGTAATGGCGAGCTTTGCGTCATGCTTTTGAGTTTTTCCGTAGCCTTGAGTTTTTGCGCCATTTGCAAATGGCGAAAAATCACGCGGTTTCCATGCGGTTTTCAACATTATATAATCATAATTCTCAACCAGTGTCAAACATATACCGTGGGTCAGATATGCTACAAATCGACTCTTATAGCATGTTCCGCACAACCCATTATTACACGGTGGCACTGGGTGGGACTGCCACTCCACCCCTCCCCGGCACACACATATAAATATTGTTTTGTTTTGTTTTGTTTTTTTTGTTTTTTTTTGGGGGGGGGGGGGCACGGGATCTTGTTCCTCATGCAAACTCATGGGTCACCACACCCCTGCTTTCGAAGAACTAGATAGGTCGTCAAGAAGCTGGTTAATATAGAGGAAGTAGAGCTTTGTTGATAAAACACCACCCTGTCGTATTCACAGATTGTAATGACCAACCCCAGATGTCTTTCATATGAATATTAAAAAAAACCGACTAATCATATAATAATTAATGCACGACTGAGACAATAATAAGATTAATTCTATATTCAGGGGCGTGTCCAGGAATGTGTCCAAGAAGGAGAGAATGTTTGGGTGGAGGTCTGGGGAATTTTCCCGGCTGCTGTATACATGTATGTGATTAGAAAGGGGTGGGGCCTGAACGGTGGCAATACGTCACAGATTAGTGTGTTCGACGTCATTACGGTGAATTTATTGGAGAACCAAAACATGATCTTCGCATGCATGAGAGGGTGGGCCTCCCACGACCTCTGGATACGCTCCTGATATTAATGTAACGAACTACCAGCAGGGCTCTTGAAAAGGGGTGGGGGCAGCTGGGACACTTGTGCAGGGGCCTAGAGGGGCCCGGAGGTATGCCGAGTAATGTTTTTAAAACATTTATTTGTATAAATTAATTAATAAAATACATTGTAGATTGTCGTAAAGTAGAGGAAAACCGGTGACTTTTCTGAATGTGGGTACCTAGTGGCGTGGGTTGGATATTTGGAAAATTTGCTGAATATAAAGCTAAAGCCAGTCCTCGTTCCACCTGAGGCTCTCGTCGCCGTCAGGGTATCCGGGTCCTCTTCCGTTTGAATTCAATTCAACATGACTTTGGGTAGTGAAAAAAAACCGAATAGTTTATGTGATGAAAACATTTTATTTTTGATATTTTGTCGTCTAATGGTCAGAGTTTTGTTTTTCTATTTGTTTGCTTGCTTAACATGTCCTGTCAGATTATCATTACATCAATATAACTTGGTGTTTTAGCAAAGTGACATCCAGTTACCCAAGTTACACACACCTGTCGATAAAACATTACAATTATTTTTTTAGGAAATATACTTCCTGACATTTAGACAATTTAGCACCTGTATATTTACACGTGTACGTGCATGCAGGATTTTTATGCATCCAGAATATTCTAAAACCTATATCGTAAAGATCTTTAAGAATAGTTATAGCATGAGTCAATTCCTTCACAACCTGTCTATCAGCACAACGTCTACAGGTGTGAAACTCAACCATAACTTGTTTTGTATTGGTTAGTTCGTGAGCTTTTAAAATCTGTGGTAGAACTCTCCATTCCCAGGATTCAATATCCATTTTCAGAATTGACAAAACTTCCTGAAAGTTACATAAAAAGAGGGATCATTCGGGTTTGAGTGGCCGAATGGTCTAACGCATGCGCAATAGCTCATACAGTCTGTCATTGAGTCAAGTGACGTGGTTTGGATTCCCCGCCTGTACGTGATAAGGAGAAGGATCGCTTGTCCAACCAAGTGGGTTTTCTTCGGGTCTCCCCCCCCCCCCAACAGCTATTAAGATACAATTAAACCATATGTTAGTCCCGAAATGAACTAAATGTCGAGTACACGTTAAACCATATTTTCCTCTCTATCCCTTACATGGAAGTGATAATGCCACCCATATGAAGTGTTAATGAGACGATCGCTTCTACCATTTCGATGGAATAATGTAACTTACACATTGGTCGAGCTCGGGTGTTCATCTAACTTGAACCCCTGTCTCAGTCGATAACCCTTACATACAAATAATAGCCAGGACTTTATCAGCAATATCCACATCTATATTCATACGGGAGCCGCGGTGACCCCGTGTTCGATCCCGCCGTTGGTCGTGAAAGTCTAACTGCATTTTCCCGCGTGGACCCCCCCCCCCCCTTGTTAGTAATGAAATGAAATGGGGTTTAACGTTCTACTGTTCTGCTCCTAAACTGGGCTAATGAAGACGGACATACGCCATACAGTGTGCTATGAGGCACTACGGCCTACTCTTATATCGAATTCCAACTGCCAAGCGATCTTTTACGTGCACGCCAATGTGTATACGGGACCTCGGTTTTTGGTTTGGAGCAGAACAGTAGAGTGTTAAATCACCCCATTACATTTCATTTCATTTTCTAAAGAGACAGGACAGAGGACGCTGTATAGTCGTTCGTATGGGACGACAGACGGATCCCGTATACAAAGTGGAATTCGAGCTACGAGTAGGCCGCAGTGCCGTTATCCTCACAACACTGTGTATGGCGTATGCCTATCTTCATTAGCCCAGTCGGAGTAGAACAGGAGGACGGCAACCACCATTTTATTTTCATTATGTATAAAGTAACGAGCAACTAAATTGCTTATCACTCTGCCTAACTATTAAGATATAGGCTAACCAAATATTGTTTTACCCACATTTTCATGTCCAAGTTCCTTTTTAATGGCCGATAAAGTTCCCATTTTCCAGCCGTTACCATTGGTACCAGTGGTATCGGATATACCAGTCGCGTGGAAGTAGACATTATCACTTCTTTTATGATCTTTGACACCTGTACTAAAAAAAATACAGGTATAGTGTCACTCGGCAAACCTCAACAGATTCCAGTACCCTACATCTAATCTCGGCTGTATGACAAAGTCCACCATTAAAACTACTTAGAAGTTCCCGGATTACAATGGCGTTGTCCATGACGACCAATGACGTCATTGATGACGACGTATTTGAAGAATGTTTTATCTTCAAAATTTTCAAAGATTTGAAGTGGTTTTTCTTTCAAGTTTATCCGTATTTCTTTAGACAAGGACAAATTTGCATTTCTTTGTAAACGCGGGCATGTTTTCCTTATAAGTAAACCGGTGCCGCATCGCAAATGTATAGGCGTAGGTACATATCACTTACTGTCATACAGCCGAGGCTAGATGTAGGGTACCGGAATCTGCCGAGGTTTGCCGAGTGGGTATAGTGTATTACACCTTTCATACCTATACTAAAAAAATATAGGTATATTGTATTGCACCTTTCAAACCCATACTAAAACATATAGGTATATTATATTACACATTTCACGCCTGTGCTAAAAACATATGTATATTGTATCACATCTTTCTCGCGTGTACTGAAAACATATAGGTATATTGTATTACACCTTTCACACCTACACTGAAAACATAAAACTACAGATTGTATGTACATCATAACGACACTACAGGTACAACTACTGTAACAAGCTGCTAACTTTGTATTATATTCTTATATCGTAAAAACCCTTGACAGTTGGAATTCGACACAAGAGTAAGCCATGCCCCGCCGTCCGGGCAAAATTTCCCCCATCTGTAGCACACTGCATCATGTATGCCCACCTTCAATAGCCCAGTGGGAGAAAAACAGCAGGACGTTAAACCCCATTTCATTCCTACAAGTACAACAAGTGTTCGTATCGTTTCACAAGACTACACTAGAGATTTGCGCATGGGTCACAAATTGGTGACGTGTTATTGTTGTGATCAGCTAGGTGTGTATATTTACTATCGCTGTGTGGATCGTGATTAGCTTGCTATATCGAGCTAGATTCGTATATTTACTATCACTGTGGATCGTGATTAGTCTGCTATATCGAGCTAGGTATACATATTTACTATCACTGTGTGTCGTGATTAGCTTGCTATATCGGGCTAGGTACGTATATTTACTATCACTGTGTGTCGTGATTAGCGTGCTATATCGAGCTAGGTGTGTATATTTACTATCACTGTGTGGGTCTTGATTAGTTTGCTATATCGAGCTAGGTGTGTATATTTACTATCACTGTGTGGGTCGTGATTAGTTTGCTATATCGAGTGTAGATTTGCTGTAACGGTGGACCGTTTATGCCCGAATACAACAGGAAATATTAAATGACTTACGTTGGATCAAAAGAGTGAACCCTGGCGTTTATTCTCGCTCCAATGGCGTCGTCGAAGCTAAAGTCTTTGGCTATTCTGAAAACACAAAAAATATAAAGGTTTGAGAACTTTGGTGTTGGTCAGCACGAATTTTCAGCTTTATAAAACGATTATAAGTATGACTTCGAGGGTGATTTCGTTTACTTAGTAATTAACAAAATCTGATTAAAACACAGATCCTTTTTCGTTTCGTTTTTTATAGTTCAAAATTTCGTTTTATTTGTCTGTACTACACTATGATCTGGAAGAGTTGTTATATAACCTGCGTTCTGGGTGAGGGATTAGCCAATGAAAACATTTGTCACGGCGACTTCTCCGCGCGCGATGCACGAAACTGTAGGTAAATCACTAGAAACGTCAACGCTGATTGATTAATCAATGTCTGGCGTCATATGGTCAAAAGGTGTTCGTATGACCCCTGACGTGACCTTCCAGTACAGCTGGTGAGATCTTCATGTAGTGTAGGCCATCGAAAGCATAAAAATAACGAAACGAAATATACATCTGTATTTTAATCAGATTGTAATTAACATCATGCAAGGCCGCGTTAGCTGAATGCGTATAGTCTTTCGGATGGAACGAATAACCTAGATCCCGTGTACACAATGACGTGCAAGTAAAAGAACCCTTGACAGTTAGAATTCGAAAGAAGAGTAGGTCGAAGCGCCACTATCCGGGCAACATCCCCCCCCCCCCCCATATTACACTATATGCCAAAAGTCTGTCTTCATTAACCCATTCGGAGCGGAAAAGTAGGACGTTGATAGCAACACAAATCATTCTATTTTATTCTGATTTAGACCAAAGAGCCTATGTTCGATTAGCAATACAAATACTAAATGTATTAAATCCAAAACGGGTAATCAAAGTTGAACCAAGTACGTCACTTCCGGCGTTAATAAAAATTAATTGCTGGCTTACAAAATATTTTATTTGCATATGTCACAGGGGAGATTTTTTCTAAATAGATATTTATTATTTGATGATCTTCCACGTTAAGGCCCCACGTTCTCTAAACGGGCCGCTGAAAAAAAATTGTACCCAAAAGACGATAGACAGACAATCTTACCCAAAATAATAAACAACCCCCATCTTAACCAAATGAAATGATCATCCATCTTCTTACCCAAAAGAGAGAGAGAGAGAGAGAGAGAGAGAGAGAGAGAGAAATGGGGTTTAACGTCCACTCGACACAAACTAGGTATTTCGGGACTAACATATGGTTTAATTTTATTTCAATAATTCGCTAGCGCGTAGGGGTCTTTAGCAGTGGGAGGAAACCGGAGGACCCGGAGAAAACCCACGAGGTTGGACAGGCGACCCTACTCCTTGTCACGTACAACCTGGGATTCGAAACCACGCCAGTCGAACCAATGACAGACTTTATGATACAGCGCGCGCACGCTAACCATTCGGCCATCCAACCCCCCCCCCCCCCCTTACCCAAAAGAATAGATCACCCATCATCTTACCCAAAAGAATAGACCATCCATCATCTTACCCAAAAGAATAGACCAGACTGTTATTTGCTGGTTTATATGGAGCGTCCTCACACATATCCCATCCTCCATCACCCACGTGACCCAGCCTCACCCTGTTATTACACGGTACCTGGATATGTTGAATATATCTGGAAATAGATAAGTACGTCAACTGTTGTTTTAAGGAACTGGGTTATAACGAGGTTCGAGTAGGCTGTCCCCACGGGCGAAAATAATTTAAATTTCAGCAAACCATAGCCGCGTTGTCGGGCATGGTTTAAAGGACAATATTTGGAATGTGTTTAACCAGCTCTATCACATATGTGATAATGACTGGCACCAATATTGTCCTTTAAGGAAACGAAAATACTGGGGCTTACAGCAAACCATCCATTGCCGCGTTTTGGGGCCTAGTTTAAGGAAACAGAGGCACTGGGGCATATGGATATTCGAAAAATGAAAATATCCCCCCCCCCCTATTCCCCCCTGTTCTCGGGTTATTTTGTAGTCCCTACCTTTTATTTTAACCGGAATCATTTTTGGCCTAACACAAATTTATAATAATTCAACACCATTTGTAAGTAGTATTTTACGATTTCCAACTCACAAACAACATAGGTTTAAACTGTTCGTAAAATACTGCTTACAAATGGTGTAAGTATCAATTAAAATGTATGTCGTTTATTAGTTGGAAATCGTAAAGAACTACTTACAAATGGTATTGCATTATTATAAACGTGTACGTCCAGACTGATAAAACAAAACAAAACGACATCGAAATTTTCTTAGATTGGTTGTAATGACTGGATTTGCGCTGCTCCCGTAACTAGATTGCAATAAAAGCATACTAGTGTATATATGACTAAACTCTATGTGTTGACCTGTTGAGAATAATGCTAACATGTAGGACTATGCAGTGCTATACGTCGCTGGCTAGATGCGGAAAGCCAGTAAGCCGAAGATTCCCCACATTCAACGTGTGACGCATACTCTCCTCTGCTACATATTGTAATAGCCTTGTGATCATCTAGTATTTATAATTCTCTTCTTTGGATCCCTTTTCACGTTGTGTATTTTCTTCTTACTATCTCCAACGTTAAGACGTTTGTCTTACCAAGAATAACAATACATCAGTTCGCTTCTACATTTTATATCAAGCTGGATACATATGATTACAATGCATAATTTACAATACAATACTTAAAATTAACTCGCAGATGAGTTTACTGGCGGCTACATCATATGGCTCTCCTAGAAATCAATGGGGTCTACTCATCCTCATGGTGTCTAAAATCTATAGGACCTAAACAACTCTTATAACATAGACAGTGTCTTTGAGACACTCGGTCAATTATTTAATTGGACAAATATTACGTAATTGATTATGATGATTGGTTACTAAGCCAATGATACAATAGGAATTTTCCAACACAAGTGATAACCACATGCTGTTTATCACACAGAGCCAGCTATTGTTTTGGTTTTATAAATCTTTTTTATGTGTCAATCCATCACTCATTCATTTGAGGGCATAGATATGACTTCTATACATTATGTGTATGTGAACCAAATAATTAGTTAGATATATACAATATGGTCGCTCAGAACATATTACTACAAATATTAATACTTGCCCAAAGTACAGAAGTGTTAAATCTTTGGCACCTAGCGTAGATAGCTCTGCTTGACTAGGCAGCACCCATACACCATTCTGGTAGTATTTAGATTCGACGGTATTACGTATTTGCTTATAAATGCAAAAAGCCAAATCTCAAAAGTCTAAAATATGTATGGTTCAACATACATTATGCAAGAGCTAAATCTGCCTATTGCAGGTCTTTCTTTGGGCCTTAAATGTTATCTAAATTATTAATTAGACGTAAATTAACTTAACCAGACCATAATCAGCTCTCGATGTCATCGCTAGCCTGCGATATTTACTGATCCTACGGACGAAGTTACAGTCTCATTAAAATATAGATTTATATTTCCTTTGGCTGTTTTATACTTTCGATGGCCTCCACTACGTAACGATCCGACCGGTTGTAGTGAAAGTCGTAACATACAGTTTCATTGGCTAATCCCCCACATCAACCAGAACGCGTGTTATATAACATTTCTTCTAGATCCTAGTGTAGTAAAGACAGGTAAAACGAAACTTTGAACTATAAAAACGAAACGAATTAGGATCTGTGTTTTAATCAGGTTGTCAGAGTTACTAAAGCAACGCAGTGGACACACAAGGCGAAGGCGCTTTTGACTACACAATATAGTTGGAGGTCGCCATTTTGTTTGTCATGTGAAACTTCGAACGGTCGTTAAAAAAATAATGTACCTTGACGAGCTTTGATTTTGTCCGTTTCAACTTTATCTTGTTCCGACTTCATCAACTTTATGAATTTTTTAAAGTTCTGGTATCCAGGCATATACTGAAACATGAGTAACAATACGGTAGGTCTTTGTTTTATAAACTAATGACTAACGAAGCTATACCTTTTAATGGTGACAATTTGTGTCATTAAATCATATAAGTAGCCAGTATGCTAATATTTAGTATGTATAGAAAGTGGCTAGAAATTATACAGTTATCGTTGATTAGCAGGTGTGTAACTAGCTGTAACTGGTGTAATTAAAAGCATGACTATTTATAACACCCATCACTATTGAATACATAAACCTGGATAATAATGGTGTATATCATTCAATTGTCACACCTTAGTGACAAAACACCTACTTAATGACCACTACCTGATTACTAACAATTTTAACTTACTACTACACATTATGGATATCATTAAGTGATCTATAGTGTTGTATATTTTCATTTATAACAGTTATTATTATTAAAACAAAACTGACACAGTTATATGGCACAACAATCACTGGTTTATTTTACACAAGCACAACGTTTCGATAAGTATTCTCTTATCGTTATCAAGCACAATGACATTTAGTAAACTTGAGGGTCTATATATATGTACAATGTGAAACCATACTTATTACTAATGATTAGAAGAGATCAAACAATTAACAGACATATTTAACATCAAAGACCTGAAAAGAACCATGTGATGACAAGGGTATAGAATGATTAGGGGGAAATCATACATTAGACAAACTGTATATTTAACAGATATAAGCTTATAAACACAAGGTGTAGTGAATGAAAATAAAACCACATTCACAAAAGTTATGAAAACAAAGCATAATAGCACTAAGATAAACAATAAACTGATCCAAAGGGTTTGGGAGGTCAAATATAGGCTAATAATAATTGTACTAAGTTAACATAGTAATCACGACAAACAGTGGTAACAGGTGTCCGGAAGAGTAAGCTTACTCTGCCTGGCGCCACACCCGCCATAGCTGCATCCAAACTATTAGGCGAAATGTCGGTAAAATAGCGTGATTGGCCAATGAACTATCGGTATGCAAAATGCATGCGATGAACTGTGTCAACGATGTAGTAGACATTATCAGGGAGATAATAATAGTATACGTGTCAATTAAATATATCTAGAATAATAGTCGAGAGAGACACGTTATATTTACCAATCAAATCAATATGACGGCCATAAAACTTTTTAAAGGTTTTAATAAGTTTAGTGCGCAAGTGTCCTTGTAGTTGAAGCTTAGATGACAAATGCCTCGATCTACTTAAAAAATCAGAATAAAAGGAACAAGCTCTCGAGTAACGAATTAGCTGAGACACAAACACTCCATAAGCTGGTGATATCGGAATGTTACTACTAATAAATGGAAAGTTAATAATCGGAACGTCAAAGTCATCACGCTTATCGTACAATTTAACACTCAGTTTATGGCAATGGTCAAAATCGAGACGCAGATCCAAGTAGGAAGCGTAATTGTCACTGTCAGTGGTGTTTTTAATTTCGAGCTCATCAGGATATATGAATTCTACATAATCACTAAATTTAGGATTATTAAGTGATAAAACGTCATCGATATATCGATAAGTGAAATTAAAAATTAAACATGCCATAAAAAGATTACAATGTCCGTACACTATACGTAATGAAATGTCGTGCACAAGTTTCATATTAAAGGTCACCGGAAAAGCTTCATAAATTTTTTAAATAATGCAAGTAATTATGTTAACATATCCTTTCCATAAGTATAACACGAACCCAAATGTCAATATTACCTGCAACAGGTAAATTTCAACTTAGTAATTTCCGCCGGTCTCCGTGAGTAGTCGTAACTTTCCGTCAATAAACAATCCGTGGCGTCATTTTAGTCCTTCTGCTCATAGAAATATAGACCCCCTTCCAATATGCTCTACAATTTCCAGTCACTGAACATAACACTGTTCCCGATTCAAATTTCTCAAAGGTTAGGATTTGTTCTCATTAGAAATTATGATTGACATGTTATCACAATTTGAGCGGTGGACCTGCAATTTAGAGTGAAGTTGTCACAGTATTCCACTTTAAATATAGTGTACCTAAAACAGGCATATTTTAAAATGAAATGAAATGAAATGTCCTACTGTTCTGTTCCGAACTTGGCTAATGAAATGAAATGAAATGAAATGGGGTTTAACGTCCTACTGTTCTGCTCCGAACTGGGCTAATGAAAACGGGCATACGCCATGCAGTGTGCTATGAGGGAAATTTTGCCCGGACGGCGGCACTACGGCCTAATTTTATCGAATTTCAACTGTCAAGGGATCTTTTACGTGCACGCCAATGTGTACACGGGGCCTCGGTTTTTCGTCCCATCCGAACGACTAGACAGCTGTCCTTGTCAGGCCCCCCGTCCTGCATCACTGACAAGGGGGAACCACGCCGGAAAACCGAACTTGGCTAATGAAGACGGGCATACGCCATACAGTGCACTATGCACGAGGGACATTTTGCCCAGACAGTGGCACTACGGCCTACTCATATCGAATTCCATCTGTCAAGCGATATTTTACGTGCACGCCAATGTGTACACGGGACCTCCGTTTTTCGTCTCATCCGAATGACTACACAGCTGTCCTTGTCACGGACTCCGTCCTGCATCACTGACAAAGGGGAACCAGGCCGGAAAATCTGGATGAACTTTCTCTGCCAATGCAGGGTTCGAACACCCGACATATTTTAAAGGTCAATGATAACCATCTTGAACAAGGGCTACTCATAATGTTGATCGACATGAAACTAGGTATGTTTGTTCTTTGGAGAATTTCGCATGGACTGATAGACTTTGAGTTTTGAAATGACGTCACAACTCCAGGATGGCTGAGATGACGTCATACTCTGTCAAAGCCCTGTATAGGGAAAGTTACGACAAGTCATTTACAGGCGCCATTTTGGGTCCCAACTATGATGCCATAAAAACTATGACTTCATGGCGTCATATAAGCTCAAAGCTTGGGGGATCACGTGGTTAAGTGGGTAAGGCGCTGGCTCGCTAGCCTGGAGGTCGGGTGTTCGATCCCTGCATTGGCCGAGAAAGTTCATCCAGATTTTCCGGCGTGGGTTTCCCCTTGTCAGTGATGCAGGACGGAGGGCCTGACAAGGACAGCCGTCTAGTCGTTCGGATGGGACGAAAAACCGAGCTCCCGTGTACATATTGACGTGCACGTAAACGATCCCTTGGCAGTTGGAATTCGATATAAGAGAAGGCCGTAGCGCCGCTGCCCGGGCAAAATTTCCCTAATAGCACACTGTGTGGCGTATGCCCGTCTTCATTAGCCCAGTTTAGGAGCAGAACAGTAAGACGTTAAACCCTATTTCATTGCATTTTCATTTCATTTCAGCTCAAAGCTTTGATGTAGCTTTTCTTAATAGTACAATCCTTAACGGAAAGAAAATATACGTGTACATTAAGACAGACAACAAACAAACCAAAAACAATGCTTTTACCGACGACGCCCGGTAGGTATATTGAAATGGAAATATGTTATAAATATTTTATGATCTAAATGCAATCTAAATGTTAAATTACTAATAGTCACGCTCCACTAACTAAACGTAACGTTATCTCAATACTTCTTTGGTCTCTATTGTTATAGAATATAGGTCAACAGTATATAAATATTGATATTGGCTTAGCTGTAAAAAAAATCAAATGTTGTACGCGGAAGTCGAATTAACATATCTCTCAGTAAGCGGGGGGGGGGGGGGTAAACGGGGTGTTTTTAGGAGAGGAAGGAAGGGTCGGGGAATGTTGTTAGGCAGTATATATAGCGATATCTGAAGTTGGTCGACTTACGCACGAAAGTTGATTGTTGTACGTGTAGTAGGGTGGTATATTCTCTTTAAGTATTTGGTGTGATATTCTCTTTAAGTATTTTATCCATTTCTATTGTCCTGTATATCCAGTAAGTTTTGTTTTTCCAGTTGGTATAATTAGTTTAGTTTATAGTTTAAACATGTTATTTTAACATGGTGAGTAGTATTCTGTTACTTAGATACTGTCCTAACAGCATGTTTCACCTTTAGTCACTTTTTCTTAGATCTCCATCTTGAAGGCAACAATTTCTTTCTACAGCACTGCATTTACTAATTCGGGTAGGTTTATATTTGTTTAACTTGACTTGACAATATAATACAAGACAATTCCTTTCTAATTTAAATACTGTTTTATTCTCATATAAGTTATAAATAAAATAATACATGTATAATCAATCCAAGGAAGTAAACACTTATATTTTAAAATGTATGTCTAATTTGGTGTTTGTTTTATCTTTTAGTGTTTCTCTCTTTTGTACCTGTATATGGTTTTCTTATACATTATTAGTTCTAATTCTTCATTTCTTAAGAGCACCTTTATCAGGGTATGTTTCTAGTTAGTTTCTCATTTTGTTATGTTATTTATGTATAATAGTTCTAAATGCTCCATTATTATTACCTGTAATAGGCAATGTATCTCTCTATATTATATGATTAGTTATTAGAAGCTATTTCTAAGCTACATCCTTTTTTATATATATATTTATTCTTATTTGCTAATTTAGTTATTTTGTCATTTCAGTGCTCTCCTTCTTGTCTTCTACTTGTTCTTCTTTCTGTAAATAATTGGCTGTTTGGTTCCTGTGTATTGTAAATAAACTGTATAGCTGTGTTCCTGTCCTTGTCTCTTTTCGTTCAACCCGCGACCTGGAAAGGGGATAGTCCGTTGTCCATCGATCCTGCTACATACGCAAAAGTAGAGTTAAAAAGTGCTATTTTTGTTGGAAATGAAATGAAATTGGGTTTAACTTCCTACTATTTTGCTCCTATACTGGGCTAATGAAGACGGGCATATGCCACACAGTGTGCTATGAGGGAAATTTTGCCCGGGCATCGGCACTATCGCCTACTCTTATATCGAATTCCAACTGCCAAGGGATCTTTTACGTGCATTCCAATGTATACACAGGACCTCGGTTTTTCGTCTCATCCGAAGGACTATTATTTTTGTTGGAGCAGTATAGATAGAATATCAACAGTATGCATGTTTTTATTTATAATTTTGTTATCAGGAAGAATATAATCGAATACAATTTGCTGCCTGTTTCAGAACAGTTAAAGGGACCTTTACTATTTTCTGTTTGAGACTTCACGAAGTTGAATTTGCTAATGTCCCATGCTTCTTTACCACGGACTGGAGAAAACAAGTTAATGACACCTTTGGTATTGGTATGAGGTTTTTTTCAACGTCTCCATCCCCAACCCGCTGAGAAATCTCAGAAAGCCTTCAACATTATTGAGAAATTGTTTCAATAGCGTCTAGTAACTAAATGAAATACACGGGTAACAATTCTATTCAATACATTTATTGCTTTTTACTGAGCGAGGCTTCGATAGGTTGACTACTCTAGTCTTTATTAAACAATAAACACGCGCGGGCGTGCTGTTATATTTTCTCAAAACTAAATTATTGATCACCCATTAGTAAAGTACACGTGTCTGCTACTGATGTATGAATTTATTAACAAAGGCATTGTTCTTTGATTATACAATGAAATGAAATGGGGTTTAACGTCCTACTGTTCTGCTCCTAAACTGGGCTAATGAAGACGGGCATACGCCATACAGTGTGCTATGGGGGAAATTTTGCCCGGGCAGCGGCGCTACGGCCTACTCTTATATCGAATTCCAACTGCCAAGGGTAAGACGCTGGCTCGCTAGCCTGGAGGTCGGGTGTTCGATCCCTGCATTGACCGAGAAAGTTCATCCAGATTTTCTGGCGTGGTTCCCCCTTGTCAGTGATGCAGGACGGAGGGCCTGACACGGACAGCTGTCTAGTCCTTCGGATGAGACAAAATTCGATATAAGAGTAGGCGATAGTGCCGCTGCCCGGGCAAAATTTCCCTCATAGCACACTGTATGGCGTATGCCCGTCTTCATTAGCCCAGCATAGGAGCAGAACAGTAGGACGTTAAACCCCATTTCATTGTCATTATGTCACATTACGTTTGACGTTTTAAGTTAACTTTGGCCTTAGAGGTATTTTGACCTTATCATTACCGGTATTAGGACTTTTGACATTGTACTTTTAAGACATAATCAATGTAAAGGAAATTTTAGCAGAACATTTAATATTGGCAGCGACACCCATCCATCAATATTCAGTTAACACGTGACGCATATATTATATGCCATTTTTAAATCAGTTTATACGAAACATAATGGATTTGTACACATGTGTCAACTTTTATACCAATTAAATCCATATATAGAAATTGTTGATGATAAAATCCATGTGAAATTTAATTACTAGGATTACATAATTATATTTTTGTATTTCGTGTTATATGAAATATTTTTATGCTTTTTAGGCGTTGATTTTATCACTCAGAATTGTTTTATATTTGGAATGTGATGAATAAAGTAAATGTAAAATTGATGTTGCATGTTTCCAGAAATGCTAAATTATATATTATTATTATGTATGTTTAATTACGACATATTCAAATCTGATCGAAGTCTAACCAAGTGTTATCTTATAACAGATAACAATACAACCTACACTTGTTCGCGTTGTACAGAATGACTGATTTCAATTAGAGAGAGAGAGAGAGAGATGGGGTTTAACGTCCACTCGACCCAAACTAGGTCATTTCGGGACTAACATATGATTTAATTTTATTTCAATAATTCACTTGCGCGTAGGGGTCTTTAGCAGTGGGAGGAAACCGGAGGACCCGGCGAAAACCCACGAGGTTGGACAGGTGACCCTACTCCTTGGCACGTACAGCTGGGGATTCGAAACCACGCAAAATGATCCAGGAAAAAAAACGATACACATATATGAAAATAAATGAAATGAAATATCTCTTTAGAAACTAGGACTAAACTGAAAAGAGAAGGATGGGCTGACGGTATTGATGCAGTCAATCAATACACCATATTATCGTGTCCTAAAGCATCGACCAATCAATTTGCTCATCTCCTTATAGCCTTAGCGGAAAATATTTATCATGTCAAATCACTACGTTAATCATTTTGAGATCAAGACCAAGAGATGTCATGGATTTAACATTGAAGTCAATGAGGAGAGATGTACTAGTTGGGAGACCAATTGTATTCTATGGAGTTGTGTCCCTTCAATTTGACACAAAATCGTAACTGTTATAATATGAAGTTCATTATAAGGGGTAACGATAAAATGCGACCGCTTGGAAATATGGGCGGATAAAAAAAAAATAAACAACAAAAAGCACATGCTTGATGCTTTGATTTAATTTGAAATGGTAACAAATAAAACACAAAAGTATTGTAGGACGACATGGTAACACAAATGAAACATAATAGTATTTTATGGCGACATAATAAGTGCATTGAGTAGGTTACTGTTGAATAATACAGAGCTACCGGTTACACTCCACCCCCCTCCCTCCCCGACCCCATCACTAGTCACTAACGGATTGTGAAACTTTTGATAGGACACATGAAAGTAATTTAAATATACATGCATTACTTTATTGTATCCAATACATCTGATAAAATAAAAGTTTAACAACCTTTGGAGAATTTTACCATACCAGTACAATACAACTTTTATATAATATACATCACTATGATGTAACTAATTACCAATATGATAAACTTGGATAGTCTCTCATCCACGAAAGATCACATGGGGTTATAATAATGATTTCGTGCATTAAATGTTGACGTAAGTATATCATTAGTTTGAAATATTGCTTTCGTATATAAAATGATCAAACTAGAATGTAGACACGTAAATCATTAATATTGTCCCATTTGGTCTTCTGTAGTCATTTTCATTATAACATTAAAATATAACATTATAATTTATCAATCAATATGATCTACATTTGGTCTTCTATAGTCAACTCCATATTATAACATTAAAATATAACATTATAATCAACATGTATTAATCAATATAATCTACATTTCAATAATCGGTTAAACTCGATAAAATACAGTGTACCAATAAAAATAAAGGTTAATGGAAGCGATACCATATCAAATTATAAAATATTAAATTATTTAAGCAATATCAAAATGTATTCGAATTAAAACAACATTTGCGTATAGAAGCGATACCTTATCAAATTTATAAAAATGAAACTGTTTAAGCAATATAAAAATGTACCCGAAAACAAGGTACAATATGACATAGGTAGTTTTGTTAAGAGGAACAAAATTTACGAAAGGGCGAAATCTAGAAACGTTTTTGCATTAGAATCTAATTAAAACATTACGATTAGATCAAATACAGGCAAATTTGAGAAATCATAATTACTCGGGGGCATGTGGGGGTTCGGAAGGAGAACCAGATCTTACAGACAGTTGGGTGAAACATCCGATTTGAACAGATTCCCACATTGGTTGATAAATATATACTCCATTACCGTCACAACCAATTCTTCGCTGAACTTTCGAATACTTCATCAGAGGTGCACAATCATAGACCGAGTTAATAGACCCGAGTTTCACTTCTGTTGGGGGATTTCTACAGCTGCACCGAGCTTCAACAAAACTTCTGGGTATTCGGTTCTCGTCATGATTTAAAACATAATATACAGGACAGAGTCGACCCTCGTAGTTTCTGGTGATCTCGTCCCAGCTTGGACAGCGTTTAGGACCGTGTATGTAACCATGGTGAATATTAACATACTCGGACATTGTCTTGTTGACCATATGGCTGCTCATCGATGGTAACTGATAGAAACTCTCGTGGATACCATCTGCACCAAGTTGTAGTGTAGACAAATCGGGTTCTTTACAGCCGGACGTTAGAACTGCCTCAAAGCCAAACACCATCACGCATGCGAATAAAACCTATAAGTACAACAGAAAATACATGCAGCCTAAAAACAATACGATTATATTTTAGATCATTATTTATAGTAAACAGACGTTTTAACCTGTTTATGGGATAGTCAGTACCTAAATGTAAGCTGAACCAACATACAGAATAACTGATTTCCGCGTGTCAGGCTATGCTCATTGTTTTAGAACAACCGATTACTCATTACTGAAATATTCTTGCCTTGGTGGGAAGTTTGGAATCAGTATCGCTCTATTATGTTATACCCAATAATCGATTATTGTCCGTATTTGTAAAGTAATCGATTATCATCCCCCTATTTTGTGAAATAATCGAATAATATCTCCCAATCGATTAATATATTCCAATTTGCGAAGTAATCGAGTATTATCTCCTAATTTGTGAAGTAATCGGTTATTTTCTCCTAATTTATGACGATTCGATCATGGTCTCCCAACTTCTGAAGTAATCCATTATTATCTCCGAAGTTGTTGAGCTATGCGTTATTGTGAATTATTATCCCAAAAGTCGCTAAGTAAAGAATTATTATTTCTCTGACTGTGTATCTGTAAATGATGTTTATATATTTCCGCCGTTTTAGACCCTCCTACAGGCCTTGTTCAAAGGTATGATAGAACAACACTATAGTTCTCTCTGATGAACTATATATTCAGACGAATGCAATGGGTGCGGAGGGTGCTATTTAATATGGGGTTTAACGTTGTATAACTGTTCTGCTCCAACTGGGCTAATAAATACGGACATACGCCCAACAGTGTGCTATGAGGGACATTTGCCCGGACAGCGGCGCTACGACCTACTCTTATATCGAATTCCAACTGCTAAAGGATTGTTCATGTGCACGCCAATGTGTAAACGGTACTCGGATTTTCGTCCTATCCGAACCACTATATGTCGTCCCTTGTCAGACTCTGTCCTGCACCGGTCGTACGTGACAAGGGGTAGGGTCGCCTGTCCAACCTCGTGGGTTTTCTCCGTGTCCTCCGGTTTCCTCGCACTGCTAAAGACCCCTACGCGCCAGCGAATTATTGAAATAAAATTAAACCGTATGTTAGTCCCGAAATGACCTAGTTTGTGGCGAGTGGACGTTAGACCCCATCTCTCTCTCTCTGTGTCCTGCACCACTGACAAGCGGTTTTCACGCCGGGAAATCAAACAGGTTAGTGAGTTAACGTCTTCCTCCCTCGGTGCTATATGCCTTAGCCAAACACAAAACAGGTAAGCATACAGTGTCTCGTGCACCATATGCCATGACGAAACCTAAGTTGGCACTAACGCTGAAACCTAAAATTTCACCCCAATTTGAGAAAATGAAATATATAAAAATACCTTGATAAACATTTCTTAAATAATGTTAAGATCACTCGATTTCAACAAATATCAGTTGATTATTAACATACCTGTGATTTCAAACTTATTTATATATACAGATATGGTTCCGTACAGTAGCTAAAATAGTAATCTGATGATTTCTGGTTTGTCGTCTTTTAGTTCAAATTAAAGGAAGTTTAAAATAAAGGACATGACGCGGGTGATATCTACCAATACTATCAATACGATTTATTTTCCTGTAAGCAATAAACGCGTCGATATCAGTATGTATTTTATTCTACCAATGAAATATATTTGCAGATATATTTACCCAATTGTAAGACGAAAGGAGTAACTAATTAACTTGTATGTTTGAACAACTGGGAGTGGCTGTAATTTCTTTTTTTTACAATCAAGAACACCCGGGAGTGTGTAGAAAATTTTAAAACAAAATCATAACGGAAATATATCCGTATTTGCATGCACTCACTGATCAATAAAAATTACTTCCTTTTAAAATACGCCTCTTGTCTTTCCTTACAAAATATCGCATTTATACGATTTTTACACAACCATATGTATTTCCTGAAATTTAATATACATATTTTATACAAAACTTTAAAACTGAATAAGAGGCAATCAGATACAAAAAATCTATTAAAAAAATACAAATCGGATATTAGTAACTGAACAAAGTGAATGATAAATGATCCGAATAATGAATACCCCTACCGTGAAGTAATTGCAGGTGCTCTGGTTAAAGGAAGAACATGCTACATTGGATACACAATCCCCCACCACTGTAAAATCATAACACTATAACTATTGTAACAATATCATGGCTTCAGCTTAATATTGGTCTCAAATTCGTATATTGGATAGGACATTATGTAAAGCTAGTGCCAGTGATGTCGTTCTCCATTAACAGTAGACATTATTTTCTTTCTTCAATTTTATTTCAATAATTCACTTGCGCGTCGGGGTCCTTAACAGTGGGAGGAAAGAGGAGGACCCGGAGAAAACCCACGAGGTTGGACAGGTGACCCTACTCCTTGTTGCGTACAACCGGGGAATCGAACCACGCCATT